TTTGGTTGGTTGGTTTTTGGGGGGTTTTTTTTGGTTTTTTGTTTGTTTTTTTTTTACTGAGCAGCCTGAAAGTAACTGCTTTACAATCTTCTGAGAAGAATTTAGAGTCTGTAAGGAAATACTCTGAGCCAGTCAATCTGTATTTGTTCAGAAATGTCTACAACAAATCAGTCAATTCTGCAGTAGCACTTTGTTACAAGAAAAAATAACCTTTTTCCTGACCTTTGTACAGATAGCCTGTAGCATGTGGTTTTACATAGAGATTTTATACTTATGATTAAAACTTTAGTAACCAATATTTATATTGTTAAATAATTGGATGTTTGCTATTCTGAAACTGGTAGAGCTCATCAATAACTACATGCAAGCAATATTGGTTGGAGAAAGAGTGGTCTTTCTGCTATGCATGATACCTTAAGGAAATCTGTTTTAGAATGTGATTAAGGAATGTGGCATATGTGTATACAATGAGTGATTGTTACAGTCAGGAAATGAAAGTGCTTCAGAACAGTCCCCTATTTTCAGGGGTGTAAAATTCTGCTTTAAACACTTAGTCTGAAGTTTAAATTCTGAACACAGTAGCATGTAATTTTAACTTCTGAGAAAAATACTGCAACTGCCTTTGTTTACCTGTAAGTGCTTTACAGCTTTTGTCCCCATTTGCCCGTTAATGGTTTTTGTTAATGGTTTTTTAATATTGCTGCTTCTTTAGTATTGCTGTTTTGGGACCTATAAAACAGTTGGATTAAAAGAACTGCAAAAAATGCTGAAAATTCTATTCAGGACCTACTTTAAAGTCCACTGAAATTGAATTCTTTCACCAAGGAAAATCTGAATCTGCTTCAGCCAGCTGTCTTAACGCCACAGTGTAACTGAGAAGAAATTCCCATTGTTTCCTGTTAACAAACTGCCTTAAGGCATATCTAGAGACACCACACAAAGCAGAGGAGCTCAACTGCAAACTAAACTTTGAATGCCTGTTTTGATTTCTGTTCTGAAAATGTTTCAGTTGAAAATCTCAGTGTTGTATTAGATCTGATGTTTGTGCAACACAGATGAAATATGATTTTGCACTTAAGGAACTGGACTCATAGCATGCTTATGCCTATTAAAAAATTCCTGAACAATCTGCCCTTTATGTAAATTTATTTTTCAATAGTTGTGGCCATGGAGTCACAGGCCTTAGCTCTTAATGTTGCAATACTGGGATTGAGCTATGGTTTGGGCTTTAGGTTGGAAATGCTCAAACACCTCTGTCCTTGCTGATTTTATCATCAGCACTGAGCATGATTGATTGGCCTCCCTCAGCTTCTCTGAGTTCAAAGGATTGTCTTAATGTTCTTGCATTTTCTTACTAATTTTTGACACTGTTTATTTTCAAAAATGTTTAAAATAAAATAGAAAAATTTGCAAGGTCAGGATAGGAAAACATTTCTACTTATTTCTTGCTTCCCTTTGCCCAGGATGCACACAAGCAGACTGTGGGTGCAGTTGCTCTTTTGCAGTCAGATGACATCCTTTCTTCTTCCTAGAGACAAAGGCCATTTCAAATGGAATTTTTATTCATACCTTTTCATCTTACTGCCTTTCTGTTCTTGGAGAAATACAAAATAGTGAATGGTTCCTACACCATAACATCTCCACTACATTTGCAGAAATTGGAAGGTAAAGTGAGCAAGGCAGAGGCTTGGAAAGGGGAGCAGGGTAAGCACTCAGTCCCTGCAGTTGAGATTTTGCTGAGTAAATTGGGTTACTTGCTTTACTGCTTTCATCCCTGGGGTTTTAGTTCCTGGTAGGAGCTGCCCTGCCCTATTTCCCCTGTAGGCAAATGTGTGAAGGGGGAATGTTCAATGATGAGCAGTGTAATGCTGTTCAACCTGGAAAAACTTGACATGTTACAGAATCCATCTTAAACATCCTGCCTGCTTCTGCCTTTAGTCCATGACTGCTCCTGAAATGGCTACTGAGGGTTTGTTAATTGTGTAGTGTGAGATGTCAGTTGAAGCAGCTTCATTTCTAGATAAAAAACAAGCCATAAAGCTCAGTGCAGGGAGTTCCCAGCTGCCTCATAGTGCCTTACACCCCTCCCTGGACAGCTGGAGTCTGAGTCAGAGCATCTCTGCTCAGGTGAAGTCATTCCTTGGAGTGGTGTGGGATAGGAGCAGACTCCAAAGCTTGGGCAGCAGCTCCTTCCTGAGTGACACTGCAGCACGTGGTGTTTGCTGTCTGACAGGGAAGGAGCTGCAGTGCAGGACTCCCTCCCTGCCTTCATCCTTCCTTCCTCCACCCCCAGCATGTGGGCAAAAAGGAAAACCAGCACGGCTGTGTTTCAGGCCTGGGGGTGAAGCAGGGACACAGCTCCAGCTGAGAAAGGCTTTGATCTCAGTATTTCTTCATATGGGAGTGGCTGATTTTTTTTTTAAGCTACATTAAAGGGGCCTGAAAGCCTCACTGGATTTCCCTACATTTCAAGATGAAAAGCTGAGTGGGTGAGGCACAGCATCTTGTGCTGTACTAAGACTTCTGTTTTCCTTGAAGCTGAATGCTTCCATCTGTTGTCATTCACCACAACTTAAACTGGTTCCACCACTGATGCACTGTCACTTAACACAAGGGCCAGCTAAGGCAGGAGACAGACCTGCCTTGGGCTGCTGTGTTGTTAATCTGTTCCACATTACAAAGGGGAAGGTTTCCTCTTCCCAGGTCCCTCAAACATGCTGCTTTGCTGCTTGTCCAGGTCTTGTTTCCTGACTTGTATCTCTGGACTACAAGGTGCCTGTTCCTGGCAGTTCTCGTCTCGGGGACTGGTTCAAGGCTGAGGATGCCAGGGCCTCTTTAGCAATGTGTTTTCCCTGTCCTGATTCAGGAAGCAGCTGAGTCAGCCAGGCTGACAAGTTAAATGGCAGGCACCTGCCCTCCTCTTCTGGAAAATTCTGGTTAGGGCAATAGGAACATTTATGAGAATGGGGGAAAGGGGTATTTTAATAATCCTGAGGGAGCTGGGTTTAATATGGCAAATTTCAGCTCAAGTATTCAGTAAAGAGCTGGTGGAGTTTGAGAAGGGGCAGCTGTAATAACAGACACTGTTACCAGATCTATTCCAGAAGCCTTACTCATGGAGTTGTAATGACATCAATTTGCTTAAAACATCCAAGTATGTTGCCAGTGAATTTATAGCTTGTCTAGTTACCTTGACGATCCGAAGTTCACCAATATATTCTCTTCTATTTGTTGGCTTTGCTGTACTCTTAGGTTTTTGGGTTTTTTGCTTGTTCCCACAGTGGTTCATGTAACTGGTGTTTAATTTAGCCATTCTTAAGTTATGTTTAAAAAAGGAGTGGGGAGAGGTGCAGGTCTTCACTGTAGTGCCAGTTACTGTTTACTGAGAGTGGAATCAGACCCCTCCTGCTTTTGCCTTTGGTACGTGGCTGAAATAGGAATAGAAAAACATGGTTTAGATAATTTAACTGCAGGATATTATCTGTGCCTTTAAAGGTTTGGAAGGAGACAAACACTTCACCCACAGAGGCAGGCTGAGGTTTAAGACTGTTCCACCTCACCCTGTGGTAGAATCATGGAATGGTTTGGGTTGGAAGGGACCCTAAAGATCATCTAGTTATAATCTCTTGCCATGAGCAATGACACTTGGCTCAGCAGACCTTTTGGTCTGACACAGCACAATTATCTTCTTGACCCTGAAGAGATTTGACCACGTACTGAAGAACATCACCCACAGAGGCTGAGTGAGCCTGCAGAGTTCAGTAGGTGTAAACAATCCTTTCCCTTTAAAAATTCACTGCAGTCCTCCAGTGGAGTAGTGCAAACTCTGCCAATTACAGACAGTATCCATATGGTCTTCCTGGAACAGCTTTACAGCATGTTCCACTCCAGTCCCAGGTCCTTAGGATGTGCTGCTGCTCCTCTCTTGTCTTCCCTTGTCTGACCTTCCCCTCTAGTAAATTGTTAAAGGGAGGCTTAAAAAAGGCTGAACTCAAACAAGAAATTAAACTCAACCCCCAACTTCCTGCTTTTGTTCAGTGCCAAAAGCACAGCAGGAATCTCTTCTTGCAAGAGCCCAGGCCTGCTATTCTTCCTTGCTTTGCTCTATGCTGCTCTCTTCCTGTAGGATGGATTGGATTGGGCAACCATTGTTTTCCTCACACTGAAAAGAAATCCAATCCTCCAGCAACAGGAGAGCCGTAACCTGCATATTGTGCCCTACAGAAGATAAATTATGGCACACTTTGGAGGCTGCACTTGTGATAATCACTTTCACATATATAATTTTGTATTATTTAGTGCATTTCCATCTGTGTCACACAGCCTTAGCAGCACCTCACATAACTATAGGCAGGGGTTGTAGAAGAGGCAGCTCAAAAATCACTGAAGATGTTGCAATCACAGGGTCTCCTGTAAGTTCTTTCTGCAGCTCTTCACAGGCAGCTGAGGGTCCCTGAATAATTTCATAGGATCAGCAAAACGTTATCACCTCACTGATCATCATACAAAAATGATGGATTGTATCAAAAGAACTTTCTTAGGATAAACACGGCCAACCTGCAAAAGTGGAATTCCCCATTGTCCACCACAAGGTCAGAAAACATGGGATCTCCTTATGGCTTCAGTCTAAAAAAACAAGTTCTAAAGCTCAAGGGCCATCAAGCCTCAAAACTTCCTCAAGGATGTTTAAAAAAACAGGAATTAACTGGTAGTCAAGTTGGTCACCCATTTCCTGAACACCTTTTAAACAACTAAATTAAGCCAATATTCTATTGCCAATATTCTATTGGCATCAGGATTGCTTTGTCTAATATCACTTCAAGGGCTGCCACACTCACATCTCATCCTCAAAAGGAGCATTGTTAGATCACTGAAAACATCAAAGTGTTCTGAGAAGAACCAGCTAGACTACCCACAGGAGTGCTGATGTCAAAGCCTTCGCCAGCTGAGTTCCTGGAAAGAAGCACACTAAAAGCTGCAGCAGCAGAACAAACTTATGAACTCAACAGTCATTTAATTAAGAACTCAATCATCTGAGGAAGCACAGAACACAGGTTGTGACAAAGGCTGTGTTACAGTGCATTTCTAGCACTTCTCAGCATCAGGTGAGGTGTGTCTATGTGCCTCCAGGCTGGGGCTGGCAAAGCCACGTTGCCGAGTTCTGCCTCTTTACAGGCCACACCATTGTTCACCAGATCTGGCACCTTTGCCACCACAGAACCACAATTCAGTCACAAATTCCAGTGGTGCATTCAGAATTCACTTGGATCAGAGCACACATTTCTATATAAAAGCCAGGCTCTAAATTCCCCTGTTGTAGAAGAACTCTGTTTCTTCTGTAGATGACAGAATTTCTGGTTCAAGGTCTGCTCGCTTTATCTGCAATGTAGGAGAAAAGGGAATCAGCACCACCACAGCCTGGGAAGTGGATGTTAAGTTCTTGTTACTGCATTGCACTTTGCACAAATTCAAGTACAGCATTCAGGATTTAGGACTTGCTCTTTGTTTATTTGGAGATTTGAAGGATTGATTTTTTTTTTTTTTTTGTTATTGTTTTGGGGCTTTTTTATTTCTCCTCCAACATTTTCTACATGTGCACACATATGGGAAGAAATAATTTTTTTTTTTTGAATAGTGACATTATCTCTGTTCACTGTAGAATCACAGAATCATTTAGGTGTGAAGAGACCTTTTAAGATCACCAAATCCAGCTGTAAATATGTATGGGTGACAGATAGAACTTCTGCTTTGGGCTGAGCCATTGGGAAGCCCAAAGGGCATCAATCAGCCCTAATCTTAGTACAAAATTCCTCAAAAGTCCCCTCATTTATGTTCAGTTTGCTTTGTTGTAATAAGAGATTAAGAAATCTTAAAAAACCCCAAAAAACTAAAACGCCAGAAAGTTTAGACTGAAAATTGCAAGAGTTAGTTCTCCTGACCTTGCTTGCTTCAGACTGTTGTGAAAACCTGTTAAATCTACATTGAAAAGGGTACATATAAATAACACACAATGCAACTCAGACCTCAGAAGTCCTATGAACCTCTCCCTGGTACATGGGCCTTCACAAGAAGCCTCTCTGCTGCCTCATTTTAGATGTACCACGTTAATCCTGTTGATTTTTTTTATATGTGGCCTTCAGCCTGCTGGCCATAGTTCTGAAAGGCTGATTTAATGTCACAATAATCTTAAATCAGTTCCTGTGAAAGGACTTACCTCCCCACACTGTGGGAACATACTAAAGGAGACTGGCAGCATCCCTGCTAGGACTGACATAATCACAAACATCCTCACGGGACCCAAAGCACGAGGGTTTTTAACAAATCTTGCTCTGTTCAAGACATGGAAAAAAGTATGTCAGTATATTGAAAAATAACCTGACAGTGACACAAAGAGCATTAGCTACTATTTTACTTATGTTACCTAAAGATGTTTCCTTACTTAATTTCCTATGTTCTTACTCTCAACTTCCTGTGCTTTCCCTTTGTTTTGTGCTTGCCTGCAGCATTTTCCAAGCTCAGACTTGGAAAAGCAGCAAGATCAAAGTGACAAAATGAGAGAAAGTACATTAGTGCATTAAAGTGTCTCAGTCCCTTAAGATTTTTCCTGCCTCACCCTCTTTCTTTACACATTTAGTTCCTGTGGCAGCCCTATTTTGCCTTGTGCAAAAATTTATTACTTGAAAAATTTTATTTTACATCTGCATTTTGTCTCCTGCTAACAGGCGTCCCTTAAGCTGATCAGGAATCAATTTAGGCAATATCAAATTACCTGACAGAGATGATCCCTACCTGTACTATTTACATGACAAAAGATCATGACCAAAAGTTCAGGGCAGGCTAAGATCCTTCTTACAAAGCATACACTGCATTCTTCTTAGGATACAGGGATTTAAAATGTTCAAAAGCAAGAACATGTTTTACAACAGGTGGAAAACTATTTGGAAGTAGGGATCCAGCTTTAATTGCAAATTCAAGTGCCACATTACCCCTTCAAAAATACAAAATCAAGCTAAGTGTTGTGAACAACCTCAATACAGACATTGAAACTCAAATCTTAAGTTAGGGAACTGGAGGTAAGTAGGCTCTAGAAAAAGAATGTGTCAGGAGAGCACAAACATGTTTCCTGCATGGGAGCAGAGAGGAAAACCTCATTCCTACAAACCTTGGAGCATAGGTCAGACATAACCAGATTCACTTAATGATCTCAAAGAATCACAGCAGCTGAACAGCAGCAACTTCCCACATCATCACTTCCACCAAGGCAAGCAATACTGCCAACCCAAGGAAAAACCTGGCAAATGGTACCAGGCAGACTGAAACCCAGAGTACCACTGCCCAGGCACCCCCAGCCCCCTGCAGTGCCTCTCACCTCTGCACACAGTACATGAGCACTTCTGGCAGGAAGAACGTTGTCCCAAACAAGACTGCTCTGGACATTGCTGTTTCCATAACGGCCTTCAGGGAGAGAACAAAACAAATGTTGTTAAAAGTGCTCTGGGCAGCTTCAAACACTGCCTGCTTCCCTGGGTGCTTTTTTGTTTTACACTCTGGAGTTTAAAGCAACAGGTTAATGAGGGATAACAAGAGGAATTCTTTCTTAAATGGAAATTAACAGGCAAATACTCTGCTTATGACTGGGAAATTCCTTAAAAGGCAAGTGAAACTACTGATGAGATTTCCTGCTAAGACTTCCTTTTTAAAGTTGTCAGTTTTAAAGCTGAACTTCATACAATTGGTTATACCTTCTGGGCATCCTAACTACCCCGTGTTAAATCTGAAGTTCTCTCTCCAGCTGTCACCAAATCCTTATGCTCATGCAGTTGTTTCCACAATACAGGGCTTTTCTCTGAGGTGTCCCATCAGAAGATCCAAGAGTCTTATCTCCTTCTGGAGGTGACCAGAGAAAACAGAAGTGTCTGTGCCAGTGTCTCTGGTCCTTGGTATATTGGTCTGGGGAGGCAGCCAGCCCTTGATGACACTGAAGATGTGGAACCTGGTTCCAGAGACATAATCCAAGCCTGCCCAAAGATTCAGCACCTGGTGTGGGATTCCTTATTCAACATATCCAACCCTAGCTACTCTCAGCATCACATTCTGCTCTTAGCAGGGAATGAAAGGCAATCAAAAAAGTCCTCCTCACCTACCTTCTCACCAGCCTTCTTAGACACTCCTATAACCTTGCCATTCCTGTCCATCACTTCTATCCCATTCTCAAACTCCGGGCTTCTCACCATTGCCACAGTAAATGCACTTGTCAAACCTGCAGGGTTAAAGGGGATTTTGCCTTAATAGATCCCAAAGGATTGCCTCAGCAGTAACATTCATAAGGATGTGCATTTTACATTTCCAGTTCAGCAGTTCACTTCTGAATAACCCGACAGCTTAAAAAAAACACTCCCCAATGAAAATCTACTCTGAATCTTTATTTCAGAAGCTTGAGAGACACTGCAAGTCCTAAAAGATGCTTTGTCATTATGGATTCAGAGCTTTAAAATCATTTCCATCCAGCTCAAACAATGAGTACTTTCTAGTAACAGAAAGTAGAGGGATTTCTGTTGTGGTTAGGTTTTGTCCTGCTCAGCATAAAGTCCAGCACAGAAGACAAAATCCTGAAAGGAACAGAGTTTCAGAAAAGGTTGCATCCTGCTTTGAAAGGAAGGGCATAGATTGTCAATCTGACCTTGCTTGAAAGAAGAGATTGCTCTTTTTATTAGTTCTTGGTAGGGCTATTCAATAAAGACACCAGTGTATCAGAGGACACTCTGCAAATGCTGGACTTACATTAATCAATTACCCCTAGGCTTTTCGCTACATTTAAGAAAATGGAAGCACATTTAACACCTGCTTGAAAGGAAATAAGTCAGAAACCTCTAAAGTAAGAAAGACCTCAGAAAGATCTGAGTAGGCATCTCACATAACTTGAAAACAGAGGAGACGATGCATTTTAATTTGATCATTTTTCCCCTAAGAAAGGTCAAAAATTTCTATAACGGCAATAGAAATACAATTAATTACATTAAATAGTTAAACTTCTCCTTGTGCAACTTCACCATGGCAGTAGAACTGTTGCAGTAATGAACTGAGTCCCAGTTTCCTTGCAGGATTAATAACACCCTGCTGGAACAAGGTGCACTCCCAGAGAGATGTCGCACTCTGGTGTCACGGATCTGCCACACCAGGTCAGTCAGTGCCACTGCTACTGCCCTCCTGACGTGTCCTGGTGCTTTCAGGTATGTGTACAAAGCTCACAAGAGTGCTCTGCAGCTCTGAAACTAAAACCAGCAAGAATCCAGTGAGGCTGGGGATATGCACAGTGAGAATTGTCTCCCACTGAAAGGAGGGGCCAGCAAAGGCAGCCAGAGATGAAACAGAGACCACACCTGTGTAAAGGCAAGAGAACTCTACAGTCAGACAGGCAAATGGCCCTCAGGCCAGCTGCACCATGCACAGTTTGCTCCTACTCACCAAGCAGAGGAGCAGGCAGCAGCTTTCTGACGACAAGTTGCATTAATGAGCTCTTCAAAGCAAAACGATTCACGAAGGCAAGAGGGAGCGCCTAAAGCATGGAGAGGAAACAGGCCATTGAAAAAATAGGCAGCATTTCAGTGTAACAGGTTAGGAAAATCAATCTGTGACTTAGTTACCATCTATGAAATTAAACAACAAAATACACGCCTTCTCTAGTTAATGAAGGTGCTTGTAATCACTTTTTTAGATAAGAACACAAAACATTGTGATAAAAAAAGCATTCAACATTATTATGTTGAGGACAGCAGCACTGTGAATACAAAGACAGAAAAAAGAAAATAATTACCTCTGACTAATATTCCTTGGACATTCGTCCAACTGCATTGTGTCACACACTTCTCTCTCCCCCAAACAGGAAATCTGGTTTACTTCTGTATTTTTCCTGCTTCTCTGCAGTTTCAGCCTAATTCTATATTCCCATAATACATTGCAGGAAGTTTCATTTAGGAATAAATGGCCAGCTGCCCTCAGAGACTCCCTTTAAGGGACAAAGGGAAGCACTTCCACGATGCCCCACAGGCAGGGCTGCCTCCCCAGACTTCTGTAAGCCCTGAGCAATCCTGACCAGCTGTTTTGCCCTGCAGTGGGCAGAGGTGAAACTCCCTCTAACAGAAGCAAGAACAATCACATTTTTCTGCCAGAAGCTTATGAAAATCACCGCTTTGTGTGGGGGGTGAGGAGAGGCATTACAGAGACATCTACACTTGTGACGAATGTCATGTTGATACCTGAGCTCATTCTGATGTAGCAAGCTCCAGAAACCACAAACTCCTATCCCAGCAGAGGGCACAGGGTCAGCTCCCTTCTGGAAGACTAATTTCCCTGCATCCCTGCGGTGTATTAATGGCTATGCTGTTCCTGGGATCTGAGCAAACACTGTCCAGTGCTGCTGCTTGCAGACCTCACCACTAGTTTGGAGTTAGATCTCTTCCAGAGCACCACATCAAAAATCAGCTACAACACCCCAGTGGCTCACTGTGTGTTTGTAAACACCGGCCAGTTCCTCTCACTACCTGTTTGCTAAGCCTGCAAAACAACAAAGAAATTGACACAAGAGGAAGCATCAGGGGAAGCCAAGCAAAATCATGGCTGACAGATGATCAGAAAGTATTCTTACTCTGAACAGTTCTGTGGCAAGATATCAGAGCAGGGCACCAGGGCACCGTCCTGAAGGATATCTGGCACTGTGGATACCCTGAAGGATATCTGGCACTTGGTGCCTACTCCTTCTCAGGAGAGCTTGTTAGGAAAGCAATCATTGAGCAAATACTTACACCAACACAGGCTGAATAGGAAATGGCTCCCAAGCCAAGCAAGAGCTGCTTTTGCTGAACTGAGTATTCCTAAGGACAGAAAAAACACACTGCATAAATACATTGTAAAACATGTGCAAATCAAGTTCAAAATGGCATCTGCACATTGAAGACAATTACAAAAATTAAAATCAACACTCACTTCAGCCTTTGGTGTGCCATTTCCATTTATCAGAGTGAATGCTGTGGTGTATGTGTGAAACACAAACTGCAGAAACAAGAGATTGTAAGAAAAATTAATTCAGGATTGAGACTAGAAGACCTGCAAAAGTAGAAAGAAAGAGGCAATTACCTGCCAAAAAAAAGAATGCCTTGCGTGGCGCTGAACAGATGAAACGATGACCTAAGAGGAAAAATTAAATTAATTAGACAAAAGTCTAATTAAAGAAATGATTGAGAAAGGATCAGATTGGTTTTGCTGGGGATATTAATACTAACTTAGATCTAACTGATATAAGAGCAAAGGTTTTAGGAGTTAATTCCCAGCTTCTTCTCAAATTCAGACAATGAATAAGAACTTCAGCTTTATTAAAACACAACCTTTCTTGAAGTTTCAAGCTCAAGGTGTGGAAAACTTTCAAAAAACAGAGTCAATCAAGATAAGAATACAAAATATTGAAAAAGAGGAAGGCTGAGAATTTCCAAAGACTTAGAGAAGGATCAGTAATTCATTTAATATTAGTGAATCAACCATTTATTATTAATGTCAGCAGTGACTCTAACCACATCTAGGAGAGTGCATTAAACCATAAATATCAAAAATAAGTATTTCTATTATTTTTTTTACTACTATTAATGAATTTAACATCCATCAAGACTTTCCCTGTACTTTCTAGCAGTGCCATGTAAGTTCAGGCTGTAATGTCTGTATGGAATGACATATCTCAGGATGTACACTCATAGGCCAACCCAAATAATCTACATTAATGAATAAGCACATGACTACAGCTACAAATTCTATGAAACAAATTTGTGCCATTTTTGAGCACAGTAGCAAGAGTTTATTTTTCTATCTTTGGTAATTTACTGACAACACCATTTCCTACTTGCAAATGCACCATCTACATAGGAAAAAAATAATATTCTGGGTGTGAGACAGAGAACACAAGGCTCCAACCCCTTCCCACTGCAGTTCCAGATTTTTCAGGCTGAACAGGCCTTGCTCTCATTGCTGAGTGATCTCACCTTGCTTCAGAAAGCTGTCCTTCACACACGAATAATCTCTTGGAATGCTGCTGGAGAGGGGTAACTAACAGTTTTGGACTTCCAGGGAGATTCTTTGAGGGCTTGATTTCCAGGTTACTCAGCACTTCTCATAAAACAGATGTCTTTCCAACAGCTTGTGCTGAAGCTACAATAAAGCCCCAAAACTTCCATTCCCTCCCTCTAACCCTGGCTATGGAAAATGGAAGCTTTGCTGGATGCACACTGGCATCTGTCACAATTACTCACCAAGGGAAGAGTTATGGGCATGAAAGCTAAAAAGAAAGAAAACTTGATTTCAGTGAAAATAACATCTGTGAGTGTAGATGGATGGTCTTGAGCAGAAAATCCCCCTAACCTCCCCTATTTCCATCTCCAAGTGAAACACTGCTCACAAACCCCAGCACCACTATTAACTTCAGCCCTAAGCTTTATCTCTCACTCCTGGCTTGGGAAGCCACAATCCCTGCTCAGATTTCACAGCCAAAAGGAGCCCTCATGAACTCCTCTCCCCAGGGCTGCTTGGAAATGAAATAACTGAACACAAGTTCAGCTCTCTGTTCAAAAAGAGAGGTATAACAAAAGCTGCCAGAGTTGTGAGTGGTCACAGGAGATAATGAGCACATAGCCTCAGTGTGGTTATCTCTGATAACAGCCTGTGCTGCCTAAACAAACCCCAGGCACACCTGATCTGCCACCAGAATGTAAATTCATCCAGCAGCCACAGCCATCAAGGGAAAAACTTAAATTACAGCAGACAGTTAAATGTGGAGGGATTTGGGAACTCATTCTGGAGCAACAAGAAGTAGAGACTAATCAGAGTGTTTCCATCTAGATGAGCGAATTATCCCAGGGAGAAGTTCCTCAGCAGAACCATAGGAATAAATAAATAAATCTTCAACACATATACCAATGCAACTAACAGAAGAGCCTGCTTGTTCTTCTGTGTGGAGAAGAGTGTCACTGTGGTATCACAGCAGCTGTTCACCATGAGCTATTCCCCCCCAATGCTTCAGTCACACACAAATTTCACTTAAGGGAACCTACCTGGAGGTCTAAACAAAACAGGAATTATCTTGTCTGTGTCAGGATGTACGCTGGACTTAAAAAGGAAAAAAAAAAAAAAAGCAAATTAGAACATCTTTGCCATACTCAAATAAGGAAAAAAAAAAATCATCTAAATATTTTGTAAACTTACCAGGCTTAGCAAGAAGGCTTGTTTGGTCTACAACAGTTGGAAAATTAGGTTAGCAATTAAATTTCAGAAGAGGCTAGGTAAAATCTTCTTTCTATATTTATTCTATGTCTTTTTCTAATCACTTCTTTTTATACAAAATGTATATATTTATATATACCTTTAATTATATTCTTCCCCTAAAATTTCTCTCCATATACTCCCTGTTTAATATAAAGCATTCATATCCCATGAGCTCTGTAACAGCACCAAAGCACACACTCGGGCAGAACAGAAGATTAATTCAAAAAAGTTAAAACTAGTAGGTATTTTAAACCATAAAACAACAATTAAATATGGCTAAACACTTATGTTAAGACTTTAACTGCAGTCCAAAATACCTGATTATTCTGTATGGGCTCACTTGGGGTCTTCTCATTGATCTGTATTAATAACCTGGTTCTTTTTATTTCATTCTGTATTTGAGAGAGAGAAAAAAAAATAAACAAAAAAAAAAAACCTCTCAGATTTCAATATTTTAAGTGCAATATATCAGCTATAAAACACCACAAATACAAACCTAGAAGCTAGTGATGCATCTGTTCCTTGCAGTGAAAGCAAGAACACTCCTAGACACAATGAATTCACAATCACAGGAACTTTTAAACTATGGGGATAATTCAAGTGCAGGCACAGCAGCCATGGTCTGGGCAGGGCTGCAAGTGCAGGCACAGCAGCCATGGTCTGGGCAGGGCTGCTGAGATGGTTGTGCCTAGAAACGTCCCTTGGTTTATGCAATCAGATCTAGAAGTGTACAGTGTTTATGGTAGAACTGAGGGATGCTTTGGGTTGGAAGGGACCTTAAATCCCACCCGTGTCACGGCAGGGAAACCTTCAACCCAAGCCCTGTCCAACCTCGGGCACTGCAGGGATCCAGGGGCAGCCACAGCTCCTCTGTGCACCCAGGGCCTCCCACCCTCACAGGGAGGAATTTCCTTCAGCTACACAATCTAAACCTCCTCTCTGGCAGCTTAAAGCAGCTCCCTCGCTCCGTGCCCTTGTCCCAAGGCCCTCCCCAGCTCTTCTGCAGCCTTTAGGCCGCGGAACATCACCCGCAGCGCCACATCCCTCACGAATTCACAACCCCCGCGGCCGCTCGCTCATCCCGACCCTCCCCCGGTACTCACGGGGGACTTGAGGAGCAGCAGCGGATCCAAGGCGTCCGCCCAGAGGAAAAACCTCTGGAAGAAAGACTGAGGGAGACAGGTTGGAGGCGTTATTTATTTCGGCCCTTCCCTAAGCACGCCCCGAGCCCTCCCTAAGCAGTGCCCACCTGCCCCTCGGCCCTCCAGAAGCGCAGGTTGGCGTCCATGGAGCCGCGGCGCCGGAAGCGCGGCCGGGCCGGGCCCGGGGCCGCACGCTCCGCCCGCAGCTGGGGAGGGATCCAAGGCCTTTTCCCTTCCCAACGGATTCCCCGCAAGGCAAGGCAAGGCCCCACGGGCTTTTCCCTTCCCAGCGGCTTCCGGGCAAGGCAAGGCCCCACGGGCTTTTCCCTTCCCAGCGGCTTCCCCGCGCAAGGCAGAGCCGAGGAGCGGGGCTGCGGAGGAGCCGCCGCGCCCTCCGCGGGATGGCGGCGGGAGGAGAAGGCCGGGCCGGGTGAAGGTCGGGCACAGTCCGGCCGCTTTGGTGCGGCAAATAACGGGTTAACTGGGAAAAACACGCGGTTACATGTCACAAAACAACCAAACAGCGCGCTGGAAAGATTTGCGACTAGTGGAAGCCGGAGTATCAGCACCGGCACCGCTTCAGTCTCATTTTTTCATCCTTTGTTACATGGGAGCATTGATCCGCATTATAAAGTTGCTCAGGACTCAGCCACCTTGTGCTTCTTTGCTCAGCGGGACAGAAGAGATAAACAGTGTGAAAAATGCATATTTTATGATTGCATTTTCGCAAATGTTACCATGAATATTATATGTGTAATGTTAGAAGTTATGCTGTATTATTTCTCTTAAGCAACGTGTTAAATATAGTTTCAGGTTCCAATATAATGTTAAAATAGGAACTGCTATGTGAAGGGTTTTTTTTTTAAGGAATGAGCTACTTGCTTCGAGGAATACCTAAATCCTCTAGAGAAGAGGAATTAAGTGTTTTCTTATCAGAAGAAGCTATTTTCTTCAGGCCTTGCTCACTCGAAGACACCATGGGGATTAAAAGAAACAGTTGACATACAACAGAGTTCTTCTTTTAAATAGCATGTATCCATAACCACGAAGGATATATGAATATGCAACAGGCTATTGTTTTTAAGGTTATTCCTTTGTTCACAAGGTATGCTTTTCATGACTTAGAGAGCATCCAGACGTCCGTAATTCTTTGCTTTTTATTGTCTTGTAATTGTCCTAACTCTAAATTTTATTACTCTAATTGTATTACTGTTTTTATAACCATTTTATTATTATTAAACTTTTAAAATTTAAAAAACCAAGCGATTGGCGTTTTTCACAAACAGAAACACAGAGGGTGCTGCATTGATCTGTGCAGCCCCCCAGCACTTTGTGTCCACAGGCTGCTCCCCACGGCAGTTGCGAACTGCTGGGAACAAAGGTGCAGGACAGAGCTGCTGAGGCACTGAACACATCCAGGTCCTTCCAGAGAGAGAAACAGGGCTTGGGAGAAAGGCAAAGAAAAGCAAAGCACCACACCTGCTGCTAGGCTACGTTCAGATTACTTTATTACAGCTAGAGATGTGCTACATCAGCTTCAAGCAGTACAAGAGCCAACCAAATTCAAGTGAAGGAAAACTTGTCACTAAGCTCCAACAAGTGCACTGTGAGGGTTCAAGTTTTTACCATCTCCCAAACAAAATTAAAGTTCATGCTTGTTAGTGCTCCTGAGTAGCTGCACTCTTTTTTTAAATGGCACATATTTACATTCATTCCATGTTTTAGTGCATTTACACACAAAACCAATGAGTTTTAAATTGTTGTTACTTGTTACATTCATGTCTTCCTCTGCAAAATTCATTAAAAACAAACCATGTATCAAAATTCTATCCTTGTTTCAAATTTCTTTTTTGACAGACTTTTACGTTGTGTGAGAAAACAAAATGCAGCACATTCTTCTGGTCCAAAACTAGTTAAAGGAAAAGGGAAAAGCCAGTGGAAGGCAACTGTAACTTGTGTACTCATCACATTCGGGAAGATGATTAATGGCCACAGAAATCCATGAAACTGAAGTTGCAGAAGGCAGGGTTAAAGCCTTAGTTTTACCCTTTTTAAAGCAAGACAAGGGAATCAGTAAATATTTCAGCATTTAATTTCTTCTTAAACATGAGAAAATGAGAGCTTTTATTATTATTATTAATTTTTACAATTACAGCTGTTTTCCTAATCTCTTCAGTGGTGACATTCACTCAAACATATTTGAGTGTTTATTTATTCACTTTTTCAAAATATTCTTTGGAACCTTCTGGACTTGGTTTGATCTGTCAAGAAAAAAAGTTAAGTTATTACTTGGAACAGGTATGATAAAGAAATACAGATTTGACACTTAATCCAAGCAATCCAGGCATACTTTATAAAAATAGTAATCTGTTTCTGCACTTGGTTGAAAGACAAAAGCCTAGATCATGTACAACTCGCACTTGAAAATTTTAAGTATAAACCAGATTTTTCCTGTTAAATTACAATGCATTAAGTAAGTAAAAAATCTGAACTCAGTTATGGAGAGTCCAAGTCAAATTTGGAATTTTGAACACAATTTGCATCTCTTAAAAGGAAACCAGTAACTTTCTTCACAGGCATCCCACACTTACTATCAGACAAACAGACTGAACTGGCCCAGCCAGTAAGAGTTTTGTGTGCAGACAACAGGCACAGACCTCACATCCGAGTGGATCCCAGCCCTCCAGGCAAGCACAACCAGGCCAGGGGCTATCTTCAGCAGGATTACACTCAGCCCTGAGCAGGACTCACCGTTGGGGAGTTTGGAGTCCAGTTGGCCGGGCACACCTCTCCGTGTGTCTCCACAAACTGGAAGGCCTTGACCAGGCGCAGCGTCTCGTCCACGCTGCGCCCCACGGGCAGGTCGTTGACGCTCAGGTGCTTGATGACCCCGTTTGGGTCAATGATGAACAGACCTCTGCAATGCAGCAACAGTTCAAGGAAGATAAATCAATTTCCAAGGCCAAACACAAGGAACTGGGTGCATAATTTCAGCAAGGTAGTTATTCCTAGTGACATGCATCACTTAGGAGGGAACTGCAGCTTTTGGTATCTTGTTTGTTAGGAAAGTGATCCACTGCTGTGGTACTGTGAAATTACAAAGTATGTATGGAGACTATTCAATCCAGGCAGAGAGAGCAAAGGGAGAACTCAGTGTTTCACCTGTACTTCAAAACTGAAAGATGGCATCCTGCCCATGTCTTTCTGGTCAAATCTGTAGGTGCTGAGTGGAGAGCTGCTTGTGCACTATGCTACTGAATTAAATCCCGTTGCATACAAGTATTTGTGAAAACCAAAGTCCCAATCTTACCATACTTATTAATTTCATCTCTCAGTAGATAAATGCCAAAAGTTCCTGATCCAAAGAGATCAGGAACTGAAGGTCTCCAGAAGATTCCTACCCAATCCACTGTTTCTCAGGGACTACTATGGAAAAAAATTATCAGAAACTGCCCTTCTATGCTGCTCCTTTTCCTTAGGGACATGGAGTTCTCCTCCTCTATCAAAGCAGAAGAGCTTTTCCCTCACACATTTTCAGAGAGGCCTGGAGCCATTCTCAGCTTCACAGCCACAATGGCCAGGTGCCTTTTTTCATGGATCCAGCCATCCTGCAGCAGAAGACATCTCAGAGTCTTCACTTGATGCCACTTCCCCACAGGAGGGAACGGTGTGCCTTATGTTGGTTAGACTGGGCTGTGTCACAGCACAGCAGTCAAGCCTTACCTCAGTGCTATGCCAGGTCCATCTAGCAGCACCCCATAATCACGGGAGATCTGTTTTGTGAGGTCTGACAGAACTGGAATATTCATTTTGCCCAAACCGCCGCTCTAGAGAACAGAGAAGGATTTCACTTGGTTACAAAATGCTCCATAGGATCATCCTTCCTGAGCTGCTGCATTCCATGTTCTTGAGGGCACAGTAACAACAACACACAACCAACGCATCTGCTCCACCAAAGGAACCAGCTGTGTCTGGTGTTGTTTGGGTTTGCTTTGTTTGTTTGTTTTGAAGTAGTCAGGAACAGTTTATTTCTTTAGAAAGTGAAATTTCTTTTGCACTGAGCATTTTAGAATTGCTGATTTCAGTGGTAAGAAGCTACCAATGGCAACAGCCATATGTTTCCAGAAAAACTTCCTTTGTATCCTATTCAGGAGCTTTGAATAGAAAAATTTCTACTGCATATTTAAGTGTTCAGAATTAAATAGGATGAACATGGTGGGGAGGGAAGGGAACCAAACCTGTGAACAAACAAACTTTGGAGCACACATCTGATGAGGAACAGCTGAGGGAGCTGAAGATATTTAGCCTGGAGAAAAGGAGGTTCAGGGGTGATCTTGTCACTCCCTACAACTACTTAAAAGTGGGTGTAGCTAGGTGGGGTAAGGCTCTTTTCCCAGGTAACAAGGGACAGGACAAAAGGAAATTATGTCAAATCGCACCAGGGGAAGTTTATATCAAATATTATCAAAAATTTCTTCATGGAAAGGATTGCCAGGTATTGGAACAGGCTTCCCAGCGCATGGAAAAAAACACGTGGATGTGCCACTTGAGGACATGGTTAGTGGTGAACATGGTGATATGGTGGTAGTGAGTTCATCATCTCATCATCATGATGAGACTTCATGATCCTAGAGGTCTTTTCCAACCTTAACAATTCTATGATTCCAAACACAATGCTCTTACCAACACACTAAGTTTAATGTCAGAGTTCTGCCGCTCTGTTCAGTGTACATGGCTTTTTTGTTTTGCCTCTCACACATCAATTTAAATACTATTTGAAGAGTCAAACAAGATTTCTTTCAGTTTTGCCACATACTGAGACTGCAAGAGAGATAATCTCTCTAACCTTGAAACAAGGCTGGAGTTTGTTAGCTTTGCTATTCTTGGCATCATCAGTGAATCACAGTGTAATCTCAGCCACTCAGACCCTGATCCTGCAAACACTTGTCTGCCACAGAGTTCCCTACACAGAGCTTTGAGCACAGATGTCAGACAAACCAAGGTTTCTGCTTCTCTGGGTGTCAGTTTCCTGCCTGTGCCCCCATGGAATTCTTTCCACCCTGTGCGGGGTGTTTTGAGTTGGGCTCGATGATCCTTGTGGGTCCTTTCCAACTCGTCTGTGCATCTGTAAAATACTGTGCACATCTGACATACCCTGAACACCTTTGGGATAAAGCTGGGAAGTCAGGCCACAGTCACATTGCTGAGCTTTGAACAAAGCATGCAGAAAAAAAAATATTGTTGACAGGCTCAGCCAAGGTG